ACGATGTGCATTACTTTTATCAGGTTATCCATTCTGACAACGACCGCTCGACCGAGCTGACCTGTGAACTTGGATCCTCGTGGGCGAGCGGCACCCTGAGCAAGACCTCAAATCAATAAGGCTACATCGCCAATTTACCCAGCGACGTTCTTGCTCGGATGCCTACCACGGGGAAAAATTACCGGAGCGCCGGAAGCGCAGAGAACTCGGGATCACATTCTGCCACGACTCCTCTTGTGTGCTCTCGCTTCGCACACTTTTCCCTCGAGAGGCTGTAGGTCACGAGAAAAGGCTCCCGTGCTTGTGATGCACGGGAATCTTCAAGGTAGATAAAGCATCCCACTCAACCGGAAGAGCTGAAAATGGCTCAGATCCGCTGGGCATGTAGAGTTGCAGATAACACGGGAGGGCGAGGGAACATGCTATCGAGATAAGCATCGGGCTCCGCTGTCGGAAAACGGATTGCTTCCAGGGAAAACAACCATCGATGCTGACTAAACACGTCTCAATGAGTCGTCGATCGAGGTTCGTTCACTCAGATCTTTGTGTTTTCCGCGGGAACGATTCGACGGACACGTCCCACAAACGAACTCTTCCGAGGAACGGGAGCGATAACCGGGGAAGCGCACAGCCGGCAATACGGTATCGTATGCGTCGCTCGTTCATCTCTTTGAATTTCCTCGTCTCTGATCTGAAGCGAATCCTTCGCATTCCATGCGTCAGATTGGGGAAAGAATCCAGCAGCCGGGAAAAATTTGGAAAATTTCGAAAGGGCCGACGTAGTACATGAGCAAGAAATAGGAAACAAACTAGCCTCACCTTGATAGAGGAACAGGGACTGAAGGTATCGAAAACTCAGTAGAGGCTAAATCCAGAGTGTTTTCGAGAGAGCTCCCGCTATTTCCATCCGCTCAGTCTTAAGGTAAAACATTCATAACACAACACCCTGTTCGCACCAAATTGTTGATCACATTATCCGTTCGAGGCACTACGATCATGAAGACGTCCACAACGATGGAGACAGAAGAACACTTGAAAGACTGATCCTTAACATTCCCTTATTCTCGGGGGTGACAGTTGGCGCGGACAGGCGCTCCAACTACCCCGTCGACTTCGGTGCAGAACTCTCACGTTTACGGTGGCGGGATCATTTCCAAGGAAGGCGCAGCTCTCGTCTCCAGACGATATGGATGTTTTTGCCGGCGCGGAGTTGACTGCGTTCTTCTCAGTGAACACGAGAAGCCAACGATTATCCTCGTTAACAATGGAGAAAATAGCGCGCTTCCAACGAGTAAACAGCACCACCAGCTTTACAAATCACTGATATTCACGGAAGACAATGTGAGGAAGCCACGATCTAGAACGACTGGAAAAGTAGGCGCGGGAGAAATCGGAGGGAGCCTGCCATAACTACACAAACGTCAGTCGCATCGAGGGCTGCCTGAAGTGATCGTCGTTGAAGGAGGGAAGACCGCCAGTCGCTGTTCCCTCACCAGTTCTCGCAAGTCCTCGCTCAAAGGAAAGGGACACCGCCCGACGTTTGAGTTCCTCCACACTTGTTGCTGGCGTTCACTTCGGGGGCCCGGACCTCCTCTGTCAGATTGAATTGGCTAACAAGACAAGTCGAAATTTCTCTGAGTTGCGAGGAGAATCTTCTTGATGATGGATGATGCTGCGACCTCAAAGTTCTCGGATATATTACGTCCCAGATGTATTATTATTTGTACGATTGTCTTGTGCATTAGGTCATCATCGACTCGCGGAGACTCAAGAGCTCTAGAAAATCTCGGAGTCTTTCAATGAAATTGTATTACGCGCGCGAGCTGAGCCCTCGCTCTCCTTCCCATCCAGAGGTCGGGGAAATAGAAGAGCAGATTCCATTCCTCTTCTTCAAAATCGTATTTAATCCAGAGTTCTTCCTCCTCGGAGACAGGACGCTACCTGGAAAAACGCCGGCGCTACGCCGTTCCCAGGACTGCCATCGGCGACAGTGCTGAGAGGCGGGTCCTTCGAGGTGGCAGTCCGACGGTCCTCGAACACCGATTTTTCTCTTGTTTAACATTCTGCTGTTTCAGCGAAGTCTCTAAAGGAGTAGGCTCCGTATCGAATCCCCCGGTCGCTCGCCTTCGCTCTACCTTTTCTGTCAGTTTTGCTGTTTTCCCCAAATATGAGGGAATCGCGTCTCGAGCATTTCCCGGATGCTCGTTCCGCTTCGCCTCGGAGCGGCGCAGCTCCTCCAGCGGCCGGCGCGGTGTTGGCCGAACTTGTCACTCGCCGGGCACTGGCGCCCCAACTTTTCCAATTCTGTCTAGTTCGAGGGTCACTTCAGAGTCTTTCTTCTCAATAATAGCCTCACCGAGGCCGAGCTCTCGACAAAATGGAGTGACTTCCTTTCTGATCGAATTTGAGCTCACCATACAGCTGAGTGACTTAGTTGAGAGCTCCCTCCGACGCTCGTGGAGCTAGCGATGGCTTACGGAGCAATCCGATGATTTGGCGGAGCGTGAGGTTTTGTGAACGAAACCGTGAACGGAGCCGTGGACGAACCTGCGAACGAAGTCGTGGACGAAATCGCGGACGTGGAGTCCGAGCTCTAAAAAAAGCGTCTCAAAATTACGTGACAGCGACCGGAGCGGTGGCGTGCGTTGCCGACGTACTGTTCGTGCAGCATGAATCAGCTCAACGGTGCACGATCAGTGTTACCAGCGGCTCGTACGGAGAACATCGACACAATCCGCTGTACCCGAGGAGCGCACCCACTCACTTATTCAAATCTGACACTTTGCCATTAGCTAAATTCGCCGCTTTCTACCTGATCCGCGTCTGGCTCCCTTCGTACCGAATCGCAGCATACCTCCGAATGCAGTTCCGATTAGCGGCGTCAGATAGTCTCCGCGACGATTCCTCGCAAATCGACTCACGATCTGATCAGGAACGTCAGCTGCCAAGGCCCGACGATCACGGATGAACTTTGAGAATCCCAATTGTTTCGTGATGAACAGTGATCGACCGGGATCCTTGTTTGAAAAGCAGTCCAGATACCTCCTAGAGCTAGTTCGGATCGACGATGAGCATCTGGCGTGATTCGAGTTTCCCTCGTGATGACGAAATTGAACAAGATGGGAGCGAGTGCCTGGGAATCACCGGCCCGAAAAAATGCACGGCGGAACACAACAAACGTGACAGACATCAGTGATCCGCGGTCCCAGTCGGAGATCCCATGCGCTTTGATTATTCTGCGCGGTTTCGAATGCATGGGAGCTCCGCGATCCACCCACTCTGGGCTCGCAGCAAAAGTTTCCGAGAAGCAATGATTTGCAGCCGTCAACTTGAAAATATCACATCTCGAAATCAGTCAGCATTGGGCATTTCCCGCGGCAAGGGAATCGCTCTTGGGTTCGACGATGCATTCGGAAATGCAGATCCTGGATTCGGAGAGAAAGACGAAGATTCCGTAGTTCGGAGGCGCCGATCGGCGAATCACCCTTGCCCAATTCGTCGAGAATATTATCAAGATCATTTCCCCTTCCACCTCAAATTCTATGTGACAGTGCCAAGTGGAGTCAAAACGACTCCCAGAAAGAAGATGCGGAATGAGAACGGTGGGATTCTTACAACCTGCACTTCAAAACGAAATTAAGAAAATAAGAGAATAGATACGAGAATCGAAGTCGGCTTAGCTGCATCCGGAGCTGGTGAGCGAATCGAGATAGGTTTTGCTGGTGGAGAGGAAAAACGGGAAAACGAAAGCCATCCGCGGCCGCTAGGGACGTAAGTTGGGCGATAGCGGCCGATGGGCGAAGCTTGGAGAGCGAGAACAGTCTGCCAGCTGGAGCCCTTCCAAAAAGTCGAGGAATTCGGTTTCCCATCGGACGGGGAGCCGAGACGCGGATGGAAGGTTCTCCCGGAGCTGTTCTAACTAACGTCTTTGACTTCAGCCGGCAACACCGGACATTCGACGTAGGATGAGTCTCTTGTCGTTGTACGTGGACCCTGACGTGGCGAAGACAAGCGTCTATACTCGTACCCTCGCACCCGCGACACTCAATAGCCTGTCGGCGGGAAAACCGTGGAAGCATTGGCACCTAGGACTTCCGGAGCGCGATACCGACTCGGTAGTTCCTCGGCCTCGCAAGTCGGCCGAATCGGACTTGCCTGAGAGCGACTTCCTGGTGGACTTTTCGAGGGACTTTCGGGGGAATTTCCCGGTGGACTTTCCACAGAGTTTTCGGACAAAAAATGCTGGTTGGGTGGAGAGAGCACGCCTCCGTCGAGGTTTTCGAGTCTTCCAAATTGGGAGCGCTGCCGAATTCACGTTATGATGGCATGCATGCGGCAACGATGGCCATGGCCCCGCGAGCGACTATTAAAAAGAAGGACGAAACTCGTTCACTCCACCCAAATTCGCGAGGCGCTGGCAGTTGACGAGTTAAGAGCACTCGACGAACATTAGCTCGCTCGGTATTCAGTCAATTTACGGCAGTCCGACGCGGTAATTATCTAATTTCCGTCACCTGTTGGCTTTCGATTCCCTCCACCCCTGCGCATTTGTTGCGTGAATCGTTCCTATTCGATATCACAAGAAGCGTCTCGGGTTGTTGTCTCGACGCTGCTGCATGGCAAAATTCTTCCGTACGAAGATGATAATCAGGAGATGATGAAGAGTGATGGTCCGAGCTTACCATGTTGATTGAACGGGCGTCGGTGCGTCGATGCGATTCGTAGAAATCCGTAGCGAACCTTGTGGGAAGGTGCGGGGATCTGTGATCTTTCGACAGTTTCGTCTTGAAGCGGGATCCCCGCATGGACTTGAAGGTAATAGGATCGGAGCCTCGATTTGAATGCGAATCCGATTTATTTACACGGTATCTCCTCGAAGCGAATTTACAGCAGATTGTTGTTGAATGATAATGATTGGCGACCCTGATACTGGCATCGACTCTCTCGTATCATTTTCTCTTCTGGTCGGCTGGAATGGAGGAAAATGCTTCGGAGCCCCTTCAGAGAAGACTGGCCTTGCCGACGGTGTTCCCATATTTCTCCAGCATTTTCTCGTACTGGTCCGCCGACGGCACGGATCTAAGCTGGGAGTGGCGGAGAACGAGCGACGGAACATTCGAGTAGTGCATTTTAGAGTAGGGCGCCACCTGGAAGTGAACCAAAACAAGACTAGCAATTTGCCAGGACCCTCGACCCTCGGTTTAGATCCCCGTTCCCGCACTCTACTCGTCGAAGCACCGTTTTCACAGAAAAATCCGAGATGAGGGATCGTGTGCCGTTCGAACGAAAACTTCGGGGAGGCAGACAGAAGGCTTCTGGGATTATTGACTCAAACTCAGTAAGTGGATTCTGCTTGAGTTTCCGAGAGTATATCCGAGAGCGACACCGTCTCGAAACGCTTTTTAAGTGTTGCCTCGACAAACAGCTCTCGAGGAATATCCGAAGTTCGAATCCGACAGACCTTATCTCCGTCTTCCTCCATCTCTTCGTCCGACTCGACGGTAAACACTTTCCGAGGTCGCATTTCTCTAAGTTTCTGAGCGATTTCATCGTCGGCGAGGTCGACATCGTCGTAGACACTGCTTCTTGCGGCTTTCGCATATTCCGAGGTCGGCATGAGAGACCTCGCGTACTCAGATCTCGGCTGACCCAGCGCCGAGCCCGTCGCGTAATTTCTGCAACGAACGATATGAGCAATGTAATACAATAGTTGTAGCTAATAGTGAATATCGAAAAATCGTATCCCCCTTTCACATCGATTCGAGTCTCCCCAATCATGATGAGTGACAATAATTAGGATTACCTATACTCCAATGCGACCGAGTTCTCCGGGTCGACCGAGAGCTCCTGGTCGACCGATACGCGAAGAGATTCATTGCTCCAGAAAGTCGCTGTGTCAGCTCGATTCTTACTCACCTCAGTGGGTACTTGGGGGCCATGGCATTGCTGATAGGTCTGTAGCGATCGTTGTGCAAGCCGCAGTCTTCCGGTTCTTCCTGACCATCGTAACGAGCTTTTGTCACTGTCGTCGGTAGGGGAACAAAGTCCATCACATCGGAGCGGATCCTCTCGCGCACCAGGTCGCGACCCTCGTTCGCCCGAAAGCGGCACCTCCACATGCTCCTTCAAAGAGAACGGAAATTCATTTTTTCAAGCCGCACGCAAGGTTTTTCGATGAGGCCCGCCCCTGCGAAAATTCGGGGAAGTCAACGACGCCATGATGGAGGAGCATCGATCCCATCGCTGGATATCAGGCGCGTGATATACTGAGGCGGTATCTAATCCGGATGCATTCGCTCATATCTCACGATGGGAATGATCTCCTCATCGTACGCGTGTGTCGACTCGAAAGCATCCGCGGTATCGTTGCTGACCGGTGGGGTCGAACATCCTCGATGGGTCAGATGTTCAATAGAAGTTGTTTCTGTGATCACGGAGCTCCTCGTGAACTCATCAGAAATCGATTTCGGTGTCGAGTGGCCAAACGAGTAAGAGTCGCTCGTCTACATTAGCGAATTTATCTTCGTTAGCAGTTCTATCCAGATTAATAGAGGGCCTATTTTATCCGATAATGAGCCGGAGCGGAACAAACCTGAGCTGAGCGCTTTTTGAACGAAGGATTACCTAAAAGCTCAAGTCGTTCGCGGGCCCAAAAGCCGACCACGACGAATGTTCTTCCGCAAAGTCGTACACGCTCGAAGTCTTCTTCTCTGTCAGAATGTGCTTTTCAAGAGGAGCATTGCGCGTCTTCACGTCATACCGCGATGCTCCCTGTCGAGGTTCTTGAGTTTGCTCTCCGTTTCCGGGGATTATTCCGCTCGTGTTCGTCTTCCCGTTGTGGGTTGGATCGAGAGCCCGGTTTCAGGTGGGTGCCCGTCCGGATAGAAGAAACGAAAACCTCACTCAGCCGGCTAAGATATAGACGGGCGGGAGAGCGAAGTAACGCGATGATAACCTCAGCAGCTTTGCTTCATTTGCGGGGAGACTCCCGTTGAGAGACAAAAATTAGCGGCTCGGAATATCTGTCAGATGGTACGATCTTCCACTCAGGCTGGCTAAGAATTGTGGACTCACTGCCGAGTCAGTGGCTTTATCCATCTAAAGGATTTGGCCGCAAGGAACCGCTTGTTCGACTTGGGAGTGCTTGCGCGTCGTCAATGCCGGAAGAACGCTCCGAACTTTTTGTTCTCCTCCATGAATCTCCTTCCTCTGACCGGATGGCCGCTAGGTCATTACAGAGAGACTATATAGGAGAGAGCTCCTCTTATTGATTGAGACAGCTCCGCACGAGTCAGCAAGGAAGCAGGAACGAACCGGTGGAGGCGAGATCGTTCCCCTTTTCGTTCAAGCCATTCCTTTGAACAATAATCAGCATTTCCGGATTCATGGAAGTCTTCTTTAGATAACACTTCGAATGTACTACGGCAGACTGTCGGTCTGGAGGGGGAAACAACGAAGAAACTCACTGCAGAATTTCAAGGTTTTGATGAGCACTTAACTCGTTGAGTTTCAACGACACGAGGCTCTAGTGAGTAGCTCAAAGCAGGAAACGGCCTGTTCGAACACCGCTCGAGCTCTGCTCAGAGTTCTGTTCGAAGGATAGAGAAAAAGAGGGGAGAGCAAAAGGCAAGCTGACGCTTGGTCGGGCGGCCACCCAGACCGGGCAGTCGCACAGCCGCCCGCTCGCGCGCCTGTGTGCTTGTTCCCTCTGCAGAGCTCTCTTTCAGGAAGGAAGCCGCTGGCAAAGGATGGACGTCGATCTTTTTCGAATGTCACCACTAATGGCAGCCCGAATGGCCGTCTGCTTTCCCTCGTCGTTAATAATTCCGAAAGCGGGAGCTCGATGGATTGGTCTGCTGATCGAAGGTAGTCATGATCTTGACGGATTCGAGCCTGTGCGTGAGCTGGATAGGAGACTGTAGACGACGAAAGGTCACGGACTCCAATTATTGCGGAGGATTATTCGGAAATCGGGTTCAGGCGCGACAATGTCGAGTTCTTTGATAAACTCAGTCGACTTGTTGCGCCTGCGTGGGAATCGTTTGGGAGCATTTCCCGGAATGCGGTGAAAAGTTCATCAGTCTCGATGAAGTGCTCGATCATTTTCGAAGCAGCGCTCTGCCGTGAAGGGGCTCATCACGCAAGTTGCGAATCCATGCGCAGCTAAGCACGATTCAGCAGCAGCTCATTCACTCCAAGCTCGCGAACATGAAACTTCGCAGAAATTTCACGAGAGGTATCGGAGGGCGTGTCGGCCAGCCGTACGGATCATCGTCTTTCTGAGCAGAGCCTGATATCGCTCGAATAGACTTTTGAGATCATGCGCGCGGATCCCGAGTCCTTCCGAAGAGAAACCGATCGGGTGCTCCGATTTCTCGAGGCAACTCAGACAGAAAATTGTCTCTCTCTTCCAAAGTGGTGAGATTCCTCGCGGCAGCAGATCCTCGGAAATTACTGGGCGGTAAGTGCTCCGAATTCAGACTCTTGACCTCTAACGATCTCGTGTCATTCACCACTTCAGCTTGCGCTCCACCGTTTCGGTGTGCGGAATGACCTTTACCGCGGTATCTAGACTGTTTCGATCAGACGTGAATATCTGACGGCGGCGGAGGACCCGGTCTGGATTATGGCACTTGAATTCAACAGGGTGTATCGGGATAGAGCCGCACAAGACCTTGCGGCGATGGCGCCGGCGGCAGGGGAGAACTGTAAAGGATAAGTAAAACAGAAGCGAAGAATCCCGAAATTCTCTTTGAAGCGCTCAGTAGGTATCCTGATCACGACTAGAAAGACGGGTCGTTCGTCGAGAATGGAGGAATGAGGAATGAGGAACGACCGCCGCTCGGAACGCGGAGAAAAATTCTGGAATATCTTCATCGACTTCAAGTACGGGGACCGGTCGGGGATCAGCAGCTCGAGGGACTCCAAATTGGATGACCGCATGCGGTCTAACAAATTGGACTAGGGTCCAGGGCGGAGTTCTCGCAACAACACTGAGCCCGTCGGAACGCTTGACCGGGTCGCGGTGTCGACTATCCTATCGTGGAGGGCGAACTTCTCGTGGTCGTAGAGGAAATCCTTACCTCTACTTGCTCGCTCGAGAGCAGCAACTCGAGATTCTGAGCAACATCGCCCGTGATCTCCCTCGTCGATCTCGATTCGGTGAAATTTCGAGGTCCCGGGGTCGGAACTTATCGCAATGAGCTCATTGAGCCGCGATCGAGATGGACTCCACATGAAACAGTGTGCAATGTACTCTTTCGAGGGAATAGGGCGGTCATCTGCGGTTTCCTAAGTTTCAGAGTCTACGGTGTGCGGCACTGAAATCAGACCGCGCCGCGCAAGAGCAGACGCGAAAAAAGCCCTAGTCGTATTCATTTTGTGACTGAGCGAGTCAAGAAATTCTACTGAGGTCATGGAAAACTCAGCACGTCATTTTTTCAATATATTGCGCGTGCTAAATCCTCGATCATGAAAGCGAGAAGAAGGAAAATCTCCAATAATGTGGGCTGACAGTTGCCTGAAAGACTGACGTCCGATTCCCGAATGTCCGTACATCAGATGCCCGCAAGAATCCCTGTCTCTTCCCATCGCTGTGTGCCACATTTCTCGCAGAGAGCCCCCTGCATGTACCTACCTCTGCTACGGCACAAAGGAGCTTTTGATCTCGCAGTGAAGAGGACCGCTCCATCGTATTCCGTCTAGTCAAACAACTCATTGGATCTAATAATCTGGGAGAGGCAAAATGGACTCAATTGGCACATCAAGGCTAATTGAGCGCCAAGTCATGGGGCGAACATATGAGACAACTGACGAACAAACATAGACGTTTAAGTAAAGCTGGCTTCACGGACACACCGAGATCCGCGGCATTCTGAGATGATTCCTGATGGTGGGTCCACCGCCGTGAAGAAACGCCTTGGGATTCCGACCGGGACTCCAGGTCCGCCTTCCAAGTATCGTTATGCCATCATCAAGGAAGCGAAGCCGATGATCATTGATTGTTCGACCAGCTTCTTCTCCGCTTCCGAATCATTATTGCCGGTGGAGGCGGCATATCTGCGAAGACTCCCATCGATAGCTCCCGAGGGTCACGATCGTGCTCTGAGAAAAAGATTCATCTGCCACATTGGAAGACCTCGCTGCGTGAGGGCTGACGCACTCTTCACCACAGAGCGAGAAGGCCCAATCTGAGGACGAAGTATCTTGTTACGGAATCAGATGTACCGTTTTGATCGGGAGATTGCCTTCTTCATGAGCCTCTTCGAAGCACCAGGATGCAAGATCGCTATTGTCTGACCGGGTTTCCATGATTTTCGTCGATCCTTGCAGCGACGAGATGGAAATAATCGTTAGTTGGTCGAGAAGGATAGCATCTCATAGTACCGTGACCGGACGCTGGAATCTGAAGCTTGTGTTGCTCGTATCTCCCATCAGGAATTTAATCATTCCATGTACCCGTAGAGCGAATCGATTACAGACGGTTGACCGATCCTCTCCGGTTGTGAAATCTATCGTCATCGGCTGGCAGTCTTCTGTCAACACCTTGTGTAGCTGATTGCCCTGACCAGGAACGGAAAAGGAATCAGCCCGACTCCGTCTTCCGTCGGAACTTGCTCTTCAAGACGGGATTCATCGCGACTCCGGGTCATCCGCTCCATCACCGCTCCGAGCTGCGTGGAATCGCTTGTTGGCAGCGCTGCGCGCACGGCTCGATTATTTAATGACGAAAAATTGAAACGATCATCGTCGAAGCATGAACTCGTCTAGGTGAGTGTCTGATTTTTGTGCAGCGTGGAGCTTGGACACCGAGCTAGGGGCCACCGCGAAGAAACGTTGAGAGCCTGGTCTGCACATCGTTTGTAGCTTAAGGAGGCATCGATCAATATGGACAATATCGGGAGTCGGAGGAGCATTGCCCCATACACCTAAAACGCAGCGTCTGACGAAGAATCGATAGAATGCCGCGCGATCGTGTCTGAAAAAGAATGAAACGCAGGACTATGTGCCGTCTCAATGAGCAGTGTATTCCCTATCCTTCTGGCTGTTTGAAGACGTGCGAACCGTGATTTTCCCCCGGGGTTTTCACCACATACGGACCCTCTCTGAAGGTCATCTG